TTTCTTTAACTACATGAGAAATAAAAAGAATACATGAAAGAAATTTGCCGGATTATCTGCTAATTTAATAATAAATAAATAAAAAAAAAAAACAGAACAAATTATTTGCATCAGAAATTACACATTAACTTTTCTGCAACTTTCCACAGTGCACTTTCCACAGTGTAGAAAGTCTTAACATTTCATAGAATATTACTTCAACCTAACCCTACACTGTAATAATTTTAAAATTAAGAGAAAGACAGGCATCTTCCTAGCTTCAGTAACCCAGTCCCAGCTTCATCACACCTTTGGATGGATTCATCACATAACAGCTTCAATTTTTTCTTTTTTTTTATGTACAATACACGAAGGCCCATTTCTGAGAAAATCTATCAAGAACTGATCGTGTACAAAGCACTTACATTCTCAAGTGCTAGACTTTCTTTTTACCTCTGAACAGAAATCACCATTTTTTATTACTTAAGACATATTCTGTACTTTACTTTGCATGATTACTTTGAAAGCAAATGCGTTCCCCTGATAATTATTATTTTGATTATGGGTTTTCATTTGGATGGCTTACTCTGAAATGTCTTAATACTGCCTAATGCTTTAAATTTATTTCCTTGCTGTTTTCTTGCTGTGTCAAAAGAGAGACATTGTAACACTTTTGCAATAGTGGTGTACTTCCTCCATGCATTTAAAGAGTGATTTTGTGTAGTAATGCGATAGATGGATGGGGTTAGCAATTCATAACTCAAGACCAGCCTATTCCCATTTGAAGAGTTCCTACTAAATAAATCTTACAGCTTGTAAATACAAGGCAACTGCGATAACTGTAGTTTACATACTTCTGGGACATCTCAAAATGAATACATACTGGATTGAACTTTGCAATTTATTTGAAAGCGTGATTATATGCAAAGATACCTGAATCACCTGAGCTACAGCGTTCATTTAGCTGTTAAAGGCACCATTATGCCTTAGATTAATGACACCTGAAATGCCATTATTTTCACCATTTCTAGATCTGATGCTTAGTAACTGACAGAGAAAAAGTTTTTACGTGTGATTGACTATCTCAGTGCTTTCACTTACGCTAAATAGAGGATAAATTTTTGCATACATCAAAGCTGTTCTAAGAGATAATATATGTCAGGAAAGTTTTCCTGATCAAGAAGTCTACACTTCTCTAAATAGCCTCCGAGCAGATGTGAAATGTGTAGCTTTACAGCAAAAGCCCCACGACTCTACCGGTGGGATCAGAGAGCTCCAGGTGGGAGGCTGGAGGTGGGAAAGAGCTAATTTCCAGCCAGCCTGCTGATTCCTGATGCACTGACTTAGGTGGGGGCTGATCACCTCCTTCTGGCTCCCAGCTCTCGATTCACAACACCTAATTTTCCTTGGTCCTTCGGACAGTTTCTAAGAGTTTCCTGGTGTTCTGCTCATGAGCTGTCCATACTGTTTATCTGCAGCACACACTCGAGCCTGGCTTTGGGCTACCCAGGGGAAATACCCAGAACAAAATTTTTGGGCATCCTGTTTCTATGTAGCATTTCATGGCACACTTAACTGCAGTGCGGACAGCCCACAGCCTGCTGTAGCTGGCCATATCTAGGTATCCACACACTCTTGTAATGATGTCCTGTGATTGAAAACAGGCAGTATGAGGCATCCACATCTTTTCTACGTGGTTCCCAAGATCACCTGCAGCATGAACATTAGTTCAGGCTAGCTGCAGTTGGCATGCACACCTGCAGACGCAGTCGGGAAGTTCTCCAGGGATCACGGTGCAGGCAGGGACTCGTCAGCCTTCAGTGCAGACATAGTTTTTAAAGTTACTGTCTCAGTATTCCTATTCCATATTTCATACATGTATATATATCCTGTAGTTTACAGGGATTCATCTTTTATTCCAACCTAGTAATACGTAAAGGACTCTACTACATCTTTTGGACTTTATATTCTAAGCCCATGATGCTCAATGACTTTGATTATTGCCATCAAAGAAAATGTCAATATTTTTTCATCTATTATGCACGCACATACATATTTGGAGAACTACGTGGCAAACTGCACAACTGTAATGTAAACCGCACTTGACTGCTATTGCCTGAGTTGCATTCTCGGCGATATTATCTGCACTGGGGCCACAAACAACAGCCCGTATCTCTAAGAAGCACTAAACTCCACCACAAACAAGTCTGACATAAACTGACTTCCTTCCTCCCAGATGCAGAGTTATCAGAATCACTCTTCCACCACTGACAGTTACATCTGCCACCATGTAATCTAGGACTAAAATGAGGGACTTGCTGTCCATGCTCTATTTATATACCATCTGTTGCAGTGGGACTTGAGGGTCATACACTCCTAAATCTCTTCTCCGTTCCACTGTAGACATAGGTATCTCAATTTTGCACATGAGGACGGAAGGGGGGGCTATGGGAAACACACAAGGTCATATGGAAGACTGGGACAGGGTAAGGAACTGATTTGCATTTTTTCAAATTTCTTGTTAACTACTGGACCATCATTCTGGTATCGAGATGGAAACGGGAACCACAGCACTTGATTCTATCTTAAATGGTCTGCTGTGTATGCACCTTAAATTTCAAAATCCCTCTGTACACGAAGCATATTTTTGATAACTGATGAGCTATTCTGTAAAAGAAATCACTGCTATCACCTTTTACAACACTGCTTCAAAAACACCTGCTTAATTTGGATTTCCAGTTCTCACCAAGCACTTGGTACCACTCACTGAGCTATTACAGCCAAGTATCTTCTTGACCCATGACAAAGCTAGGCTGCTACTTCCGAGGTGTCAAGCTGTAGTGATGGAGAGATACAAAAAATGGTACCAAAATGCTTTGACAGAATTCTGTAAAACATTGCTAAAATATTTCTTCTGTAAAATACATGATACAAAAATGTCCAAAAATATGCATGCTATAAGATAAAGGTTTTATTGGCATTTTTTGAGGACGACCTGCATAATTATTTCAATGCCTGCATTTGTGAGTAATGGACTCATCTCCTTCCATAGCAATAAAGCCTTTATACAATGTCACACTATCATCAGTTTCCTCCTTCTCTCTTCATACAGAAGAAACAGAGAGATGATCAACAGCTGGGAAAGCATCCACTTGAAAAAAAATATGCCTTCAGAGATGTGTAATGGCTGAGAAAAAAACTTCTCATGAAGCACATTTAATGTTCAGAGCTTGTTCACTGACTGAAACAGCAATTCCTTAATATCCAACATTTAGAAGTGCTCAGCAGCCGGAACAGCAAGTAATTATAAAACTTTTCTAAAGTACACAGCACGTAGTGATTACAAATGAAGCTTCATGAAGGCAGGGCTTCTAAGGAATTGCTCTGGGGTGGATATATGAGTCTAATTTGATTGGATTGAGAGTTCCCCTGGGCCAGTTCACTCCTTAGATTTATTTTAATTTATAAATATGCTAATCATTCAGGGCTAGATTGGACCACGTGCTTGCACAAGGGAGTAAGGACTCCCTTTGATCTGCTAAACAGCCACTCCAGCTCTGGGTCTGAGCACACAGGTGTAAGTGAGGAGCACTGAACCTGTAGTTACTCCTTTGCTGGAGCAGATGGGCAATGATTAGGTGCTTCTTATTGGTTACAGCAGCTGAGCCAGCAAGTTAGTGATGGGGTTAGTAATTTACTACTGGCATAAGCTACCAGTAAATTATTACCCCAGGAGAATAGGAGGAACTGTGCTGCAGAGCTGTGTGAATGCTTCTGAGGAACACAGTTTTAGAAAAAGAAGGTGGAACAGAAATATTCTGTTAATGGAGAGATAATAAAAAATGCATAAAAGGCAAAACAGAAGTGACATAGGGAGACACTGCCATGGAATTCACCAGCTCTTGCCAACCATATGGGCAGAACACACACTTTTGATATCAGCTAGTGTTAATTCAACCAGGATTCTCGATTTTAGAGTATTTTTGAGTACGATATTAAGCATTCCTTTGCAACTATTTATTGGTTATTCAAACCTTCAGTGCTCTGAGAAATATTTACCCTTGGAAGGAGATTGTTCTTATACGGATACCCAGGCCTGGCTGTATCAAAAGCTGTATTTAACCCTCTCTTTAACATAGGGGATGTAAAACATGGTATCATGTATACACAACCCACACGTAAGCCCATGGATAGACTCATAATG